TGACTACTGACTTCTTATCATTAGATCACGAAATAAGGTAACTTTTTTTTCCAAAAGGAAGACATTTGATCTGATCTACTAAGCAAATGCTTTACTGGAAAGTTCTCTCCCATTTGGCATCTGCTGTGGAATTGGGGTAAACAGTGGTAAGTAGCCAAGTGTGAAATGCAGGGCAGAGGAACAGTGTTAGGCAAACAGGCTGAAGGGAGAATCTCAATAGTCTTCCAAACTGGTTAATTAACCTAAACATGAGTCTCACCAGTACTTAATTTTTTTCCCAAGAGACTTGCGAGTTTACTTTTCCTGATAGTCTTTCTTTCTTATCTTTTCCTTGAAAAAGGCAATTTGTTCTTAGTCTAGTGAAACCAAGTAAAAAGAAATTAAGTGGATAGACATTGACATTTACAACAAAGAACCTGGACAAACTGGGTCAGACAAAGTTCATACTCTAATAACTATGGCACGTGAGTTCAGGTAGGAACAGTTTGAGGGAACACTGTTGCAGTGGTAGCTCTCCGTGGTGCTGAAACCCCCCCTGTCATGCTGGTTAGGGTAGAGTCTCTAGGCCAGCGGTTCTCAACCTGTGGGTCGCGACCCCTTTGTGGGTCAAATGACCATCGAAAAACACATATTGAATATATAATTACATATTGTTTTTGTGATTAGTCACTATGCTTTATGTTCAATTTGTAACAATGAAAATACATCCTGCATATTAGATATTTACATGACGATTCATAACAGTAGCAAAATTACAGTTATGAAGTAGCAACAAAAATAATTTTATGGTTGGGGGTCACCACAATATGAGGAACTGTATTAAAGGGTCGCAGAATTAGGAAGGTTGAGAACCACTGCTCTAGGCAATTAGGACAAGTGAACTATAAATATTACTGAGAATAGCTTACACTTACACATTGCATTGAAAAATTGCATTGATGATATTGTAAGAAAAATTTGGAAATGTTAGGAAGGAGTGATATTCCTAAGGATAATTATTCAACCTGAAGTATATTAAGCTTGGTTTTTCTTATTCAGCGATGTGAAGGTTGTTATTAACACATTAAATTGGTGATTTTACCACTATACATATTTAGCCAATATAGTTAATTTGACTCTTTTCTTTATAAATTTTAAAACCAATTAAGAATATTAAGAATTTAGGGAGTTACTCTTAAAACCTTTCTAGTGGGGGAAACACATTTTTAGGGTTTAGGAGCAATTAGAAAACTATCCTTTTCTATATAATTTAGAATTATAATTAGAATTTCTAATTCTGTTGTAATTACAAGTTTGATTTTGAAACCTTATCATTATATGAGCAGTACAATTCAATATGATTTTCAATATATTACAAATTTGATTTTGAAACCTTATCATTATATGAGCAGTAGTGTTCAACACACAGACTTATGTTTTCTGTTTTTATTTTCTCAATGCAATGTTTTTTATAATATTTTGAACATTTTTGCTCCCCATTGCTTCTTATAGCTCATATTTCCACTAAATCATTTCTACAAGGCAAACTGATTTTGTATGTTGATCTATTTTAAAATATGAATGAGCTACACACTGAGGTTTTGAAACACATAAGTAAAAGGAATCATCTTGGGGGGATGGATGTGTGAGGAAGTGAAGCAGGAATTATGCTGGTAAACTCGACTGAATTCTGGACTTTGATGTTATTTTTAAATACAACACTACATGCAAAGGAGGTGGTGGAAGCACACTTCTTAACTCATATGAAAAGGCAAGAATTACTTGATATCAAAACTAGACGAAGACATCACAAGGAAAGAAAAGTACCAGTATTCCTATAAAATATAGACACAAAAACCCCTATGAAAATATTAGCAAACTGAATCCAATCTATATATATAAAAGTCTAATATGCAAAGTGTCCCCTCAGGAGTTCGACCAGGAGTTCAATCACTTGCTGTGACGTGTGCTGACCACCAGGGGGTGGCGCAGAATGAAGGAAGGCCCCAGCCAGCAGCTGGAAGGTCCTGATCAGCCCTGATCGCTGGCCAGGCCTAGGGACCCTACCTGTGCACGAATTTTGTGCATCAGGACTCTAGTTGTTTTGTAAAATCCCATCTGTTTTCTCTGACTATTG